CTGCACAACCATTGCACATCGACATATATATATGTGTGTGTGTGTGCTGGCCTCACCCAGATAGACGAGAGGTGGCGTGAGTTGCGTATGTCCACTGCGTTGTGGTGCGCATGTGGATGACGAGCTCATCACCAGCGCAGCACGACATCTGACACGCGTGATCGGCCTGCAATCGGACACACACAGACAGACAGACAGACAGACAGTCAGAGATGCCTGTCGTGTGCGTCATGCTTTGGTGACCTTGAAGCTCGCGACGGCTTGTGTCACGACGGGTGTCTGCTTGTTGCATGACTCCAGCCAAAACTCAATCTCACTGGATGGATGGACAGATACACACATACATATCCATCTCAGCCACGTAAGTGTGAGTGTGTGCATCTCATCTGCCGGCTGCCTATTACACCGAGTCGGGCGGTGCGAAGACCGTGTGTGCCGGATTGCTCATCGGCGCGACCTCCACCTGCAATACACATACATACACATAAAGGTGTCGGTCGATACATGCGTTGGGGGTGTGTGTGTGGCTTGCCGCGTGCATCTTGATCTTGTCGTTGGCAGCGAAGCACAACTCGAAGGCCAAGAGGGCGGGTGGGGCCATGTCGATGTGTGGCGGGCAGTCGGGGGGAGGGAAGCGCACAGACGAGAAGGGCGTGGGTGGGAACGACAGCACATCCTCCGCCCTCTCAGCATCAGCAGCATCGGACGACGAGGCCGACACACCGTCGAGACTGTCGCTGCTCTCCTCGCACTCCACCACATGGGCCACCGAATCCCTTCGACACACACACACACACACAGAGAGAGAGAGAGGGGGGCGTTGGTCAGTGAGGGAGAATGGCTGTCAGCAGGAAAGGTGCCCGCGAGAGTCTGAGCGCGTGTGTGTGAGATGACTTGACTTTCGCGCATAAGGGATCAGCAAGCGTTTGGCGGACGGAAGTGTGTGTGGGTCGCGCGGCTTCCGGTGGAAACGTCGGTAGGGTAGCCACCCTGGGAGAGTGCTTTGTAGAACACATGGGGGTCTCTCCAGCTCACAGATAGGCCTTCATAGATGGGCCACAAACACTCTGCTAGGGCACCTCACAGGATGGCCGATTCGCTGAGAATGGGCAGCATCTTCCTGAAGACAGGCAAACACAGACAGAGAGAGATGTCAGCTGGGGGGCCTTCTGGCTGCTCCTCGCTTCGTGCTTGGCCTCTCTGTGTGAGCGCCTTTTTGGTGCTGTTGCGTTTTTGGAGAGGGCATGGGCCGTTAGCGACCCCTAGCACCACTCAAGCTCGCAACTGTATACACTCTCTGATTTTGAGGGCTTTTTCCCATTGCAGGGGGGCGGCGAGGCGGCTGATGTGCTCAACTAAACCCTAATTATGCGTTGGGTTTGTGCATTTCGTGAATGCGCGTGTGCAGGAGTACACAGCAGACAGGCAGGCACGTTGCCACACACGGATGTGCGCTGGGGTGGGCTGTGTGTGCAGAGAGGGGAGGGAGGGAGGGCGGGGCGTGCACTGTGCATGTGCCTCTCTCTCTCTCTCTCTGTGTGTGTGTGTGTGTGTGTGTTGGTCGGTGTTGGTGTCCATAACACCCACCATACCACATTGTGTGTGTGGTTGTGTGTCCACCCTATGCAGTAACTTCTCACAGTTCACGCAGCTCACCGTCACACGCATCGATCCCTCCACCCTCTCTTTGTCGGTCTGTCTGTCTGCTGTCTCTGTCTGAGTGTCTGTTCCTCGCTGTTTGTCGGTCTGAGGGTCTGCTTGTCTCTGTCTGAGTCGATTGACACCGATCACTCCTTCATGAGCACCGGATGCCCCAGCTTCTTCCAGACCTAACACACACAGATACACACACATGCAGTGCAGGAGACACAGTGACACCCACACACACAGAGGCCATCGTGCAGCAAGACTCTGTCTTCACCTGTCGTGTCTTGCTGTGGGGGATGGGCAGACCGATATCAGCGCAGTTGACGTAGCTGAAGTGTGGTTGCCGGACATACAATGCGGCGACGTGTGTGTGTGTGTGCCCTTACCCCTCTCTGTGCGGTTGTCCGTATGCCCTGACGAGCACTGACGCGCCCTGAGTGTGCGTCCTGACGGCCCC